GTACATTATTCAGTTTTTTTTTTTTTTTTATAAGATTATTTATTCTTCCTCTTTATATGGTATACCTGACTCTAATTCGTTAATGTCGTCCTCTCAAAGTTCTATATCCCGTCCTCAGTTATGCTGGAATTTATACTTTAGTTTTAAGGTATTGGTGAATATGTAACATGTAACTAATCGATGGTAGTCTCTCCAGTTGCAAATAATGGCAATGTATTGTCAACATCATGCTTTATATAGGCTTACATAGTTATTGTCACCGCAAAATAATTTTATGAAAGAAATTACGTACACTTACACTCACAGGACTGATGTATCCAAGTGCACAAGGTTAGAATTCAGTTCAGGCCCTGTTTTCGAAACATGCTTGTCCATTTATCCTAAAGATATGGAATTCTTGTCTAGATAATTTTTCTCTACAATATGATGGTAGTCTACTCCTAATCCTGACAAATCCAAATTAATTAACACCTCCTCACTTGACACGTTACCCTTCTTGTGACAAATTATACTTATTATGCTCTCATTGTTCCTGTAACTTAGTAAGGTGATTGAAAAACATATCCTCCTCCTTAGCCCCTTTACTGGCCTGGTACACTTATATTTTAGCTCTGAAGACAATGTGACACTCCTTGCTACTGAATGTTGCACCTCAGTGCAAAACCTCTGCCACACCCATTACTCTGGCACGTGATGATCCAGCAACCATCGGGATCAACAGGAACCATCAGTATGTTGCCGAGCAGAACCTGTATCCCTTTGTGCTTACTGCAGCGTTACATGTGTTGGAGACAGCTTGAGGACGTGTGCATGGCCGAGCGATGTAAACAATACACATCAAGAACAGATGGTATATTTCACACCTCTGTCCCCAGCAGCTGCGTTTCCTCCATCGGCGGACACAGGTGCCTGCTCTGCTTTCTCTTTTGGCACTATTATGGCATAAGTAAGTATCCGCCCCCGAAGGGAGCCGCTGCATAAAAGAACACATTTCAACAGACAGAGACCAGGAGACAAGGCAGACAGACCAAGCTACACTGGATCCAGCTCCACGACCTCGTCCTCACCCCGGGGGCCAGAAACCCTTTCATTCACCTGTACTAAGCCCACTGCGATGACTTGAATATCTGGTGTGAACGTTTCTTCTGTAATTTCTTTGTCTTATTTTGTTACGGAGCAGCAACACCAAGCCTGCACCCGTAGAGAATCTCATCGATATCTGGAGGCAAAAGGTGATCAAGAAATCCTCTCATTGATAACTAAAATCTGAGATGGAGGAGATTCTCATAAAAAAGGCAATATGTCTAAAGCTCAAGACTTATTCCCTGCTCGTAAATAATGATCAAACATGTATGGTTGCAAAGGGAATCTGTGGGTCTGAGAAGAGAAAGCTGAAACATGACAATATATGCTGCTTTCATATGAGATAGATGCACTTCTTTAAGCAGATGAGCATTACCAATGTAAAAGGTTAGATGAAAGCCACACAAACCAGAAAGCATGGGCTATCACATAAATCACTAGCATATCGTCACCCGGGCGTTGAACACTGGCCAGAAACAGAGATTGAAGAGGAGGAGGGAGTTGTGGGAGAATTCAGGCATGGCATGTCAACCAATGAGTGAGAGGAGACAGGGGAAGAGCCTGAGGTGATAGCATCACCACCACCACCAGCACAAGGAAGGAAAGATTTAATCGTCTGTAGAGAAAATGAGAGTATCTCCTCCAACTTCACTTTCTGCCTATTGTGTGCTGGAATAGCAAAGCACCAAGAAGCAATGCCATGCGACAGTAACAACTTGAAGAGCTTGAAAGCGCAGAAAACACAAACTGGAAACCACTTCATCAGGATGATAGTGACGACGAAGATATTTAGTTGTAAATCTTGTATGTGCATATTTTCTGAATGTGGTAGTCAGTGAAATAGTCTGTATCTAAAATCTAAATGTCATTTTTATTTGTCCCCTTCACCATGTAACACACCATACTCCTGCTTTAAGGAGAATTTGCTCACCCAGCATGACTGATAACTGGAGGCGTCACCAATTCAGGAAAGACATATCTCACCACAAAACATTGTGCATCAACACAAACAGTTTGATTATATAATTGTATGTGGGAGTGAATCTCATCCACTAGAAAAGGAAACCTCTTTATCTGACAAACTTGTTCTTAATAAAGACAATATACTTTATATAAGCGGCTAATTGTGTCATTGTGAGCAATATCTTTAGAAAGGGGCGACACGAAAATATAACTGTTGTACATGTTCAAAATATATTTATGAATGGGAAGTAGAGATGCAACATTTTGTTAAACACTTATCATTTTATTTAGCTGAAACAGAGAGACCTCAGACAAATTGAATGCTCAGGCAGACAATATAGCAAAAGCGAAGCCAAGGACTTTTAAATGTATAAAAAGGTTCTCTCAAAATTCTATAGACCTCGGGAGTGAAACTCCCGATAACCTGCAGTTTCACATATCAACTATACAAAGCCCTACAGCCTAGGCGGCATACAAGCACTGTTGGATGTCGCCCGAGTGCAGTTGGGCAAGGGTAATATAACCGTCAGATGTGAACATGGTTTTGTCATCGTAACAGGCTTATACTTTCCACAAAAATGCTCGCAAAAAAATCCTGTTTCGTCAAACAATGGCCGTTAGACCTTGCACTGGGATGAATTAGGCCAGATAAAATCTATGACTGGGTTGAATATATTCGATGTTATCAAGTATTTCGCGTACTCGTCCTCACCTTTGTTTTCTGTAAAAGAAAAGGAACTTTTGAAAATATTACATAATTTTGCCCCGATGCCATATTATTACATACCCAGTTTTGCAGCTAAGCAGTCTCTTCGGTGTTCAAAAGACAGGTGGAAATATTAAAGGGAAACCTATACCCGCCCTTATGCCCATTCTGAGAAAGATGCATATGCTTGTATATAATATTTTAAGTATATATATTTATTTATTTATTTATATATATATGCTTACATATGGAAAATGGAGTAATCCAATGCCACATTCATATCGATGAATAACAACCCTCCTGACCAGGACTGAAACCTTTGTCTATCCAGGAATGAACCAGAAGACCAAACTAAACTCACAAAACCACAAAACCCACTAAAAGGAGTAAAACTAGGATCTCACTAGCTCCATAGATATTACCATATCTACTCATACTATTGTACTGAAAGTGAAGTTTTACACACTCCACGTGGACACTCGGTGGAAATTGATTTAGCAATTCAAATCCTAAGTCAGATGTACTGAGGTGAGATGGAGTAGTGCAATCCCGCATTGATAACAAATGCAAGAGGAGCGGAATGTTGACCAAAGGTGTTCAAATCCTACAAGACAACGCCTGTGTTTACAACACTCACATTGCCCAGATGGATGTGTGGTCCTGTGGATTTGACATCATTCCTCATCGTCCTTGTTCTCCTGATCTTTCACCTCTTTATGTCCATGAAGTCCTTTTTCAAGGACAAACATTTCCAAGATGATGAGACTCTGATTTCTGAAGTCACTTGATGGGACCTCTGTAGATAAAGACTAATAACTGTATGACATTTGATTTCTGTATGTCTATGGGAATGGATCAAGGGAAACCTTTAATGAATGCCCCTCATATATGTAAATATAAATAATATAAAGACGTCAATTGATGATGGCGGTCGGGCAGTTCCCACACCCCCAAGGCTTGGTATTCCCCACTCAAGGTCTGTCTCCCTCTCCCGCCAGTTTTTTTGTTTTTTTTTACTGTATTATGCTTATATTACACCTATATACTTATATTATGCTTATATTATACTTATATAGGTTATATCTTAAAACTGCCCACAGAATAGCTTATTTTTCTAAAGAAAAATTTGTCTCTTTCGCAAACCCACCATGAAAAAGTTGAAATGATGCCCCTGTGTATGTATATATATTTATATATGTATATATACATACATACATACACATACATATACATAAACATATATATATAAAACACGCACACACACATATGCAAATGTGTGTATATATACATGTATGTATGTGTGTGACCGTGTGGGAGTTTATGGATAAATATTTATATTTACGTTAAACTATCCGCTCGTATCATATATATACATATATATCTATATATTTGAATCTATATGTGCTTGTAAATATAGATATCCATATTTGTATTTATTTATCTCTAGCATACTTCCTTTATAATGATTCTTAGGATTGCCAAATAAAGAGCTCACCTCAGACACCTCGATCGACTTCCCTCGCTGGAATTCCACCAGGGAACATTTTGCCGTTATTCCAGAAGAGAACCTGACTGTTAGTTTGACCATATTTGGAGAAAACCTTAATCTTTGTTGGGATGGAAAACAGACAGCGGTCAAGACGAACAAGGAAGACTGTCAAGCCTTGTCAGCTCACGAGGAGCACAGGATCACACTGGATTACGAGTCGCAGCAGATCAAGGTACAAACATGTATTTTTGGCCTCTGTGGGTCCAGTGTGAATATTCAAGGATCTTGGATTTAACTGAGTTGAATAAGAGGGAAATATCTAAATTCCCATCTCCAACAGAGAGCTGATGGCCGCATTCTCAGAACAGTAAATAGTACCAATGCAAATAAAGATGGCTTGATGAAGATGAAATCTGACGGAGGCAAGGCCTGGGTTGTGCAGATTCTGGGAGACTGGACTCATCTTCAGGGCAGCCAAAATGAGTGTGAGGACATTTTCCAGTTTAGTTCTAGGGCGTCCAGTCTCAGGAAAGTTAAATGTGTCAGTTCACCCAACACTCTGGAGTACTCTGATTCGTTAAAGTTCTTTGGTGAAAGAAGAATTAAATAGCGTTTACATCGATTTTGTAATTCTAAAACTTATACCGACGTTTATTTCCTTTTTTGTTTAGTAATCACATTTGCTGCCTTCAACACCACTTCCTATTTTCCCAAAAGAGACTTAGCGAATCGGAGTGACACAGAGTCCGAAGAGAGACAATTATCTTCATTCCCGAGATTAGACGAAGGATACTTAGATAACACATGGAGTTTACATATGTTGTATAGTGCATATTTCTCTCCTGAAGATATTTCATGCTTATTTGATATTTCTACAGGTAAAAGCAACTGTGGTGGAAACAACGCAATCCTGTATGTTTTTCTGACTTTCTTCATTATTACAACCATTGCTTTATTCTGTTACCTTCTGCATATAAGGGTAATGTATCCCGTTTGTATTTACAGTTTCAATCACCACTTATTTTCTTTAATTGCTCATAATTTATACAAAGATATGCCCATTATTAACATGAATATGAGTTTAAAAATCACCAAGCTCTATTGGAAGAAAAAAATATATATATCACGTTTACCTTTTTTCACATAATAGAGAAACTCGTCCAGAAGTCGAGCTTATCCTGCCTCTCAAGTGCTTGAACTGAATACAGGTAAATAAAACAGCCTTTTTACTTTTGAGTCTATGAGGCAACAGCTTATCACTATAAACGGAACATCTTTAAAATGCAAATGAGGATTTTTGCTTCACGTTCTTTTGTTTACTAAGTGGATATATAACTACGCAGGTACATCCTCAGAAAAGTAAATGACTATGTGCGAGAATTAGTCATTCTATTTATTGCTTGCTATCATTATTATTATTGTTATTATTATTATTTTTATTATTATCATTATTATCATAATTATCATTAATGTTATTGTCGTTATTACTATCATTAATATTGCTATTATTATCACTGCTATCATTGCTATTATTACTTTATTATCTTTATTATTATTATTATTGTTATTATTATCATTGTTATCATCATTATCATCATCATCGCCATCATTACTATTATCATGATTATTATCATTAATGTCAATGTTATTATTATCATCTTGATTTTTATTATTATCATTATCATTATATTATCCTTATCATTATTGTTATCACTATTATTTCTGTTATTATTATTATCATTATTATTATTATTATTAATATTATCATTATTACTATCATTGTCATTATAACTTTTATTGGTAGTATTATTACTAGTACTATATTATTATCGTTATTACTATTGTTATAATGATTGTTATTATTACTATTATCATCATCATCATCGTCATCATCATCATTAGTATCAGTGTTTTTTATTATCATAATCATTATCATAATTATAATCATTATCATTATTATTATAATCATTATCATTATTATTATCATCATTATTGTTATCTTAACTGTCATTATTATCATATATATTATCATTACTATTATCATTATAATTATCATTACGATTATCATTATAATTATCATTATTATCATCATGATCATCACCGTTATTATCATTATTATTATTACTTCCATCCTATCTAATTCGTCCTACCTTTTTTCTAGCCAAGGAGACCATGACGGACGAAAATCCTGGTAGCATGGACTATGGAGAAGAAACAATTAATGATATCTATGGTTATGATGGTCATTGAGACTAGATGCTGTCTGACGATATACAAACAAAGGTATTAGATATTAGGAAGGAAGTCAGGTCTTCCAAACTAGCAGTATCCACTTGATGAATGGTGCCCTCATCCATAACAGACTGGGGTCGCCCTGTCGCAGGATCGGTTTCCATAGATCTCCGATCACACCAGACCGGCGATGCCAATGTTTAACAAAGATGATGGGGCATCCTCTCCCTAAGTTGCCATCATTTCATCTTTCAAGTATAAAAATATGCTATGTGGATACATATAAATATGCATGGAGATACATATACATATCTTCATATACATATATACGTATTTATATGTATATTTTGTGTATATATATTTATATTTATATGTATATATGTATACATGTACGTATTTATAGAGATATATATGTATATATGTATATGTATTGTGTATACATACATATATATATAGATATATATGTATATATAAACACATATCGTATTATTTATTTCTACTTTTTAGTTGATTTTATTTTATGTACTTTCATATAGTGTTTTATTCATACTTATGTATAAAGTGCCGCTTCTGCATATGTAGGCACAAGTATTAAGTCAGATTAGAATAAAAGCGACTTTGTGATTCGGCGTACCCGAGGGTTCGAGTGATTTGCCAGATGTTTGGGTCTGTGAGGATCTGATAAAAAATAACATTAATATTCGCTATAGTATTTTCATAAGAAGGAGTGATTTTTTTAGGATCTTTACTTTAAAGTCCCTTACTACTTTGTATATCCCATATATGCATGAGACAGTCAAATCGAAATAAATAAAGTGCATTATACACATTCCAGGCAAAGTTTTGTTTATATGACTATATTTCGGGAAGGGGATCCATAGCTTTCATCACATTCTTAAAGGTAAAGATGTTAAGACCACTTTTCTAGGCTAAGAGGAATATACGTATTTATATTAATCAATATAATTGTAATAGTTTCACTGAAGCCATGAATACACAGCAGTTCGTTGGGATTCATTTCTGATTCAACATTTTCATTGAGTTTTATTTTTCATTGAGTTTTATGTTTCTTACCAGTCTTTGATTCTATGGCAACTTTGTCGTTTTCCTTGTTTGCGATGGTCACACAAAGAGAGTCCCTTAAGGTTTAGATCACAACTCCATCATAGTCTTCCTTTACAGTGCAATCTGTTGGACGAAGACTTCTTTGTTTTTGGGGGGAGGGACAATCACTATATATGAAAACGAGCATTTTTGCATATATTCAGCTGAGTCCCTGGGGGTTTTGATCTCAACTCCTTTATAATCTATCTTAATAGTACAATCTGTTGGACATAACAATCAAACTACGAAAACAAAGAGATAAAATGATAATTGCATCGCAAGCAGAAATATCTTTTATCTTGAATGATTCTCAGCGTATGTTCAGCTGATTCATAAATGGTCGTGATTTCATGACTATGATCTATTTTATTTGCAGTGCACCCCAACCAGTGTGATATTCAGCAGCGCCAAAAAAAAAGAACAAAAAAACGGCATTTTCATTGGTACCAGAAATATCCCGTGCTGTCAAAGATTATAATTCCTAAACTCAGTTCATATATATATACATATACATACTATATATATGAATATATATATATATATATATACATACATGTATAAATGTATGTATGTAAAAATATATATACTGGAGGGGTCACCAGTGAGGGATGAGACAAAATGGCTTCTAGGTGCACCAAGGCCTATGAGAGGGGATGATGCACCCACCCTTGGTTCATTCCAGGGGTGGGTGCACCCAGGAGAAGCTGTTAGCAGAACTAAAGAATTTTAATGTAGTAGCAGTAAAACGTTTTAAGAAGAAAGTTGATGGTTTGGAACAGTCGACACCAGCTCTTCTTCTGACTTTTGAATCCTTAGTCCTTCCTGAATCGGTTAAGTTGGCATGGTACCACCTCAAGGTAGAGCCATATGTACCAAACCCTATGCGGTGTTGCCGGTTTAAGGAAAATGGACAACCAAGAGTGTGTATGAAGTGTGGTACAAGAGGTCATCAAGGAGATGACAACTGTCCAGATCCAATATGCTGTTACCACTGCAAAGATTATGAAGCTTCTTCTAAGCAATGTAAAAGATACAGATTTGAAAAAGTATTGGTAATAAGAAGCAAGAAGCAAGTTAGTTTTGTAAAAGTAAAGCGACGTGCCCGTGTGCTTCAGGGGCATTCTTTGCCTCAGTTCTAACCCATCCTCCTTCCCGCCATTCCTTACCCTCCAATACTTATAACACCGCACACTCTGCCACTACCGTTAAACATCAGTCCTCAAATGCTGAAACTGATTCTGGTGAGTTGGTCTACCAGAAACGAAGTAGGAGTGTGGGGTCTATTGAGGAGACTCCTCCTCTCAAAGTAAGGTCTTTGGGGCCATCAGTTAAGGCTCCAGAGACCTCAACGGTGACAGCTCCAGCTGCCACCACATCCACAGGGGCCTCTGCTGCTAGGCAGAATGCCCCTGAAGCAAAGGCTCAGGTACGTCCTTTGCACAGGCAAAGGAATCCTGAGCCCATTCAAGAGACTCCTCATAGAGTCGGGTCTTGGTAGGGCTCCAGTGGCCACCACATCCACAGGTTCCTCTGCTGCTAAACAGAATGCTCCTGAACCAAAAGCTCAGGTCCGTCCTTTGCCCAAGCAAAGAAATCCTGAGCCTGTCCAAAGGAAGCCTGTGGAAACTAGTTCCACAGGTAAATAAACCATCAAAAGGTTTTCCCACGATGTTGGAAAAGAACAGCCTAAAGGTGTGGGGGGGGTCCTTAACCAGAGGTGCTGCCAAACACCTTATGAAGTAGCTTGTCAACCTGAAGAACTGGCTACCCTAATCCAATGGAATTGTCAAGGAATTAATGCAAAATGGGAAGAACTGCAACATCTGATAGCTTCTTGTAATCCAGTTTATGCCTACAAGAGATTATGACCAGGGAAAATCGTCCAATTTCCCTGAGAGGATTCCAAGTTCAAGCCCATTATGGGACCTTTGATAATGGACCTCATGGAGGAGTAGCAGTGATGGTACTTCAGGATATTCCCTTCCAGGCCATCCACCTGCAGTGTGAAGGCCGTGAGAATAGACTTGACACGACCTTACACTGTTGCATCCATCTACCTCCCTCCACATAATCTCAACATGGAAGATTTGGAAGGTTTACTTGAGCAGTTGCCTCATCTATTTCTACTCTTGGGAGACTTCAATGGTCGCCATCACCTCTGGGGAGACACTTTGTGCAACCCTCGAGGAAGGGCCTTGGAGTCCTTGTTCTCAAGAGTAGATGCCGTTTTACTGAACAGTGATGCACCCACATATTTCCAAATTCAAACTGGGACATTCTCTAATATTGACTTGTCAGTTGGTTCACCTGATTCCCAGTTGAATTTCACTTGGCAGGTCATGGAAGACTTACATGGAAGTGACCACTTTCCAATACTTTTGGAAGAGGTGAATGGCATTCCAGCCAATGGAGTGCAGAGATGGCGACTTGAACATGCAGACTGGAATCTTTTTAGATCAACTGCAGTATTGCAAGGATCTGTGAATGATTTCCAGTGTGTTCAAGATGCTGTTAATCACTTCACATCGCAGATTCACCTTGCAGCAGAAGCATCAATTCCCAGAAGTAGCGGGCAGTACTGCCGACATCCGGTACCATGGTGGTCTGATGTATGCCAACAAGTTGCCAGAGCAAGAAAAGCTGCATTAAGGCAGTTGAAACGACGCCCAAGCAATGTAACCTTGATCCAGTACAAAAAGACCAGAGCCAAGGCCAGGCGAGTGCTAAAGGAGGCTAGACGGACATCATGGTGGCAGTATGTCTCCTTGATTAACTCTGGGACCCCTTAGCATGGGTATAGGACAAGGTGCGTAAGATCGCTGGAAAGAGCACAGCCATATCACCACCTGCTCTGAAAATAGATGGCATAATCCTCACAGACAAAACAGATGTTGTAAATGAGCTGGCGAAATCCATGGCAGAGATCTCGTCTGGAGCATCTTGCACTGCCCAATTCTCCACTCTTCGGGCTGAACAGGAACGACACCCACTGTCGTTCTTCAGTAGCACTGCAGCAGAACTTCCATACAACTTGCCATTTTTGCGCAAGGAGATGGACTCTGCTTTGCAGCTCTTCCATAAGACGTTCCTGTTGGGTCTATTCAATAGGATCTACAGGGAGGGGACAGTGCCATCCACATGGAAAGAAGCTATAATCATTCCTGTCCCGAAACCTGGCAAGGATGCTTCCATACCAGGGAATTATAGACCAATTTCTCTCACCAGCTGTATCTGCAAGTTGGAGAAAATGGTAAACTTCAGGTTGACATGGCTGCTAGAAAAAGAAAACGTGCTGACCCCATATCAATATGGGTTTAGAAAACTGAGATCGACCACAGGTGCACTTGTGAGGATGGAAACTGCTATACAGAATTCCTTCACACAGCGACGCCATATGTTAGCAGTCTTCTTTGACCTTGAAAAGGCTTATGATATGACTTGGAAGCATGGTATACTCATGAAGCTGTATGACATTGGTTTAAGAGGATCATTGCCAACCTTCATACAAAGCTTCCTTGCTAATAGGAAGTTTAGAGTGAGGGTGGGAAACAGCTTCTCTAACCAGGAAGATCAGCTGGAAGGAATCCCACAAGGGAGCGTCTTAAGTGTGACCCTGTTTGCCATTGCTATCAATGACATCGTAAAGGTCGTTCTAAGTGCTGTCTCCTGTAGTCTGTATGTGGATGACTTTACACTGTACTGCTCAGGAGGAAGCTTACAGGATGTGCAAGGACACATGCAGACTGCAATAAATCAGGTTGTGCAATGGGCAACATACCATGGCTTCAAATTTTCTCCAAGCAAGACCATGGCTATGCATTTCCACAAACGAGGAAAGTTTCACACTTCCCTCTATTTAGGAGCAAACCCACTACATTTTGTCCAACAGGTAAAGTACTTGGGTCTAATTTTTGACTCAAGGCTTACATGGGTGCATCACATTAAACAGTTAAAGGTGATAGCTACAAAAGCGCTTAGTATTTTGCGGGTTCTTTCCCACCTATCTTGGGGTGCAGACCGCACAACGCTTCTGCGACTTTACCGAGCACTTATTCGTAGTAAACTTGACTATGGATGTGAAGCTTATTCATCTGCAACTCCCACCGTTCTCCGGATGTTGTACTCGGTTCATTATGAAGCCCTGAGAATTTGGGGTTTTCAGGTCTTCACCTGTGGAGTCCCTGTATGCTGAGAGTGGAGAACCACCTCTTTCATTACACCGGGACTACATGAACCTGATTTACTACATGAGACTACAAAGGATTCCGGGATCTCCTACATCCAGATTGGTTTTCAACCCCTTTGAGGATAGCCGATCCTATGAATCTTGTGGAAGATCTTAATTTAAATCTCACAAAGGTTCTGGCTGTTGGAACTTCCCAAGTCCCCCCTTGGACTAATCAAATCGAGCTTGATTTGGTCGGAATTGAGACAGGGGAGAGATCCGAAGCAGAAGTCAGAGAGTTATTTCTTCAACACACTTCTAAGTACCAGGGATCATATGCAATATATACAGATGGTTTGAAATCTGAAAATGGTGTGGGCTTTTTTTGTTGTTGTTTTTTTGTCTTATTTGCGAAGCAGAGCCTCGCCCGGGCTATGCCCATGAGGGGAGCCCGGTGTTTGCAGCAGTGAGCAGAAGGAAGACTGCATCTGGCAGTCTTTCTCGATCAGCCTCGATTTTCACTGCAGAGTTACATGCCATCCTTGCAGCAGTCAAGATGACTAGAGATCTTACGAACAATTCTATTACAATATATTGTGACTCTCGTAGTGCCTTGCAAGCAATCAAGAGCTTAAACTCATCACATCCAGTGGTGAGGTAAGTTCAAGATTGGCTTGCATTGATGTCAACACATAAGAAGATAACTCTGTGTTGGGTGCCAGCACATGTTGGTATCAGTGGGAATGAGCGAGCTGATC